CGGACCTCGGGCATTTCGGAATTGCAGTCATCGGTCTCTCTCACACCAAACCACCCATCTCCGCGAGCAAAAAGCGAGACGGCGATCAGCAAAAACGACCCACACGGAAAGTCGCCCTCCGACTCCTTTCCGTAATCGGGCTGCTATATACAGTTGAACTCAGCTACTCCGACCGACTGTGACGATGCCTCCTCGTGCTGGGGTTATCGTGTGGGCAGTTCGCGGTCGGGTCGCGCCTCGTGCGTGGCGCGGTGGTCAGAGCTGTCGGGGCCGCCTGGGACGGCGCTGACGGCAATAACGACTGATAGGCAAAGTCAACACCACTTCTGATTGCCTCCGCGAGCCGCGCGCGGTGTTCATTTGTATTCGGCACGAGCCGTGTTGCTGAAGGCGGCAGGTCGCCGATTCCTCGGCACGCATTTCTTCCGCCAGCCGCCCGACCACATTCGTCACCGGCCGCCCACTGCACCAGCCAATGCTTTAACCGTGAAATTATAGGTATCCGTCTCCGATTTGGTATAAGGTTATCAAAAGCTCATTCATCTTCAATTAATTCATGTTTTCCTGCACGAAAGACATTTATGCCCATTGCCCATGGATTAGTAGGTGTATGGGATTGCGTTGCGTATTAGGTACCTATTTATTGTACATACAGGTATTTTCATGAAGTTTTATGTTTTCCATGAAGCGATTCTTGAATAGTATTGCAACATCAAAGTCCTATGATGACTCGTTAAGACGTTCGCCATGAATTGCATCCAGATATTCAAAAGCAAAGTAGACTAAAAAGACTAAGTAGTCGATGGTAATTACTTATGTCAGTAGAATAATCACATAATGAAAGCACGAAACTCGATATATAAGTCACAAATATACCGATTTCTTATGGCTATTGTTCAAAAGTGACGTCCCACGATCCCCGTTTCGACAGATTGATCAAAGTCCGAACGGTATCGCTCGTTAAGTCACCAGCATTTTATCAGCGGAAGGCAGTTATCACCGCCGAATGTTTCGCTAGCGTTCGCCATAGGTATGTACATGCCTAAGGGGTTGTTGTGCTTCACTCGAGTTTCTTCACGCTTGCTACGAAATCTTCAGAACCGACAAAGATATGGTCAGAAACGTTCCAAAAAGAGCAAAGAAACTGAACATTCTGGCATCGTACTTAACTGTTTAAAGGGGTATTAATTGAATGAAATGACGGAAGTGTTTGGTTAGCAGACGAGGCATGTATGACGAGAGGTATGTGAGGGAAGGACGAAAGGCCACGAGACGTGGAAAAGGGCTACCAAAGGAGTGATTAGAAGAGAGCATAACTAATAACCCGCATTGTAAAAGTTTCCTCACTGCGTTTCAATAACCCGACTGACATCCTATCAAACACCGGTCCTGTCGCACACAAAAAGCCACGACCGGAACCGGCTACCTCAATCGAGCACGCCACTCGACACGATTACGTTTTGGCCACATTAGTCTTGGCGGGGTGTCCGTCATCCCACTCCGCCCTAATCCCTCCATCCCCCGGTCGGCGCCACGGTCCGGCTCTGATCCATGCCGCTGGTCTGTCCCTCCTGACGACTGGGGTCCTAGCTATGTGACCCCCGGGATCGGGTCGGGAGGACCGACGGGTCAGGCTGGCGTCCCCACCTCCCCCGGGCGGTGCGCTCCTAGGGGAGGGTGTCGCGGGGGAGGGGAGGCGAGGGGGCAGGGTTCACCCCAACAGGCGCGATAAGGAAGACGGCACCCTCACTCGTCTTGAAGAGCCGGCGGACGACGGGTCTGTCTGCCGGTCCCCCTTACACCACGTCTGAGGGCTCCTGGACCGGCGAGTCTCCAGCTGAATTTCCGAGGTGAGTCTAGCCAAGCAGACCAGTCAGTTGAGAGGGGAAGTGATCAAATAAAACATTGATAGCTTGTTTTCATAAGCGGCATGTCCTATAAAAACTTAGTTATCATGTAGAAAATCTGTTTGACGCGGTGTAAAGACGTTTATTTGCCTACAACACTTGACAGGGCCGGCCAATGTCATGAGCCTATTTTTAAAGTGCTGTATAGCATTATGCAAAAATAAGCACGTTTCTGGTCCTCCATTGATGTAAAACATTGAACAACCAGCCCCTGACATTTACTGGACATAAATCTGTCACACACGCAGCCTGCGATCAGCCAGAGAGGCAGGCAGCTCTAACTCGCCCTCTGCCCGCCAGATGGATCTGAAGTGGTGGGAGTGGATACTGCTGGCGCTAGCGACGCTGATCCCGTCTCTACACTATCGGATGATCCTGGCGACCGTGCCTCCTTTTCCATGCTGTACGTCCATCGGTGCCGACCCTCACTCGTGGTGGTGGCAGCTGTTCGGCTACGCCTGCCCCGCGTATGTCTCGCCTGAGGATGACTATCGGTGGTCAAACGAGCACGAGTCCGTCAGCAAGTTCATTTGGTCGCTGCCGACAAAGTTCAAAGCCATCTGGCCATTCGGGTGGCGTCGTCAAAACGACATATGCTGCAGCATGCACGCAGGATAAGAATGCTACACCCATCAGTCCTGTCAATACTGACCGGCTGTGCATTTTGGCTAAAAGTGATCACATCGCCAATGATCACGATAACGAAGGCAGTCGATTTGGACTGAGGGTCGAGGGATGTGGAGCGACCACGTCAGTGCTCGTATTCAGCGCAGAAACTAATCAGTGAGGTCAATGTAACGGCTGAGCATGGTAAAAGGGAGACAAAACCAGACCGGGAAGGCTGGTTTTGGCCGTAGTGAGCCTGAGCTCTGGCTGCATTTGTATAGTCACTTGCCGCTTTTGTGTGTGCTTGTATTTGTTTGTTTTCTACGGACGACGATGCATCTAGATGTGTTGTTCCCTCTCGCTCCCATCGCGCTTTCATAAGTAGTGTTTCATAGTTGGTTGTGTTTTTTTTCTCATGTGCTTTGGTTAGTTTCCTGCACTACTCTAATACGACCATGTGTGGTTGTACCCAGTGCAGTGGTAAGTTTCTTCCAGTTCACAGATCGTTCCTTTACTCAGTTCGCTCTCAGTAACCGTGTACAATGTGTTGTATAGAGCCTGTCCGTGCTTTTGTCCACGCTTTGTGTATGATTTTGGTATTAGAGTCCTTGTACGTTGTAACAGTGTTTGATTTCGTGTGCCCTTGTCAGGCCTGGTAGATAATTGTAGGGAAGTAGGTAATAGTGTCATGCCCAAAAATAATATTCCTTTCCTACCGATAATACCGACTACTGAGCTCATCCTCCGGGTAATCTGTTGAGTGTAGACTGTAGAAAGTGTATGGGAAGGACTGCGCAATGAGCATAAGCACTTATTTCTGGTGGTGGCCGTAGAAACTATACTAAAGTGATGGGTTTACTTACAAAACATGTGCTTTTGTCATTTATAGATACAGAGTGCCTGGGTGGATGCTGACATGTAGCAAACGTGAGGAAATGTGTGGCAACCTTGTATCAAGTAGGATGACATTGACAGGGTGTTTGATGTAGTACTGGTTTGTTTAGAGCGTTTTTTTCCCGTCTGTGGGCCGAATTGGCGTGTTTGAGACTGTGGTCCATTTTACAAACTTATGCGAGTAAATTTGACTTGTGAGGTTTATCATCTCGCATGAGCTGATGTGCGCTGATTGGGACGATAGTTTCCTGATGGATGGCGATACTATCCCGGTGTTTTGGGCGATATTAACCTGTGGAAGGTTCCCGTTTAGTGGGGAGATAATAAGTAGATAGCTACTAACACTGTGTGGGGAGATATTATTATGGGATACTAACCAACGTGTGGTACCTTGCCAGGCAATGTGACGGCTTTGAAGTTTGTACAGTCTGTCTTAAAAGTACCGCGCAAAGTGATGGTGGATCCATCAAGCCTGACTGAGGTAGGGCCTGCTATAATTTGAAAGTCACCGAGCCAATTGACCTAGGGAATGGACGAGGATGTCCATTGCTTCGTTGACTCAAATTTAGTAGGCCCTTCCTCGGTCAGGTATGATGGATCCACCGTCACTTTGCGCGGTACTTTTAAGACAGACTGTACATCTCAAGTTCGGAACATACGGGTAGATCCAGTGGTAGTCAATGCAGCATTACACTGTAGTGGACACATTACTGCACTGTGAGCAATGTACAAAGTGCCCTTGGGAATGTTGCTTTCTTTTTATGAATTTGTGTATTGTGTTACTTCACTCATGCTTATTATGAGTGTTTGTAAGGCATGCTTTTGCGGGACATGTAGAAAAGCATTCATGCACAATGCCTCATCAAGGGTCATTATGAGCTGCTTATGTCTGGTCATGCATTGTCTTTGAGTTTGTACTGCAGTGTATGACCTCTGCAAGGCGAAACAGTGTCAGGAAGGTCTCACGTAATTTACTCAATAATCCTTAGCAAGTAGCATTTCAATCGCCTGCATTTAGTGGCCTTTTAACCGGTGTGCCCTTCGTGTCACTTCCATTCCCATTGTTATATTGTATAGCAGACTTCGAATCGATGAGCGCCATAGAAATAAAGACATGATAAGCGCATTCTGCTACCATCAGCTGGCTATTGCATTATTCTCCAATTTGTCATCTAGCTTTGCCAATAAAAATCACTTGGGGTGATAGGTTCTCTCTGAGATGCACATAAGCAGTGGTTCAGCGTGCACAAATCTGCGGCATCGGAAATAAATAAACGCGGACTGATTGCCAAAGAGCAGTTTATCCGTGCCGGCATCCATAACTCAGGAGGACCTTTCCACTGAGGCCGGCTACTGGCGTTGTTAGCACTAATTGACCAGCGCGGAGGCTAAAAGACGCCCACGGCGGGCGCTGCGGGAAGTCGAAGGGTAAGCGGATTAGCCCCGCCGCGCCCACACGTGCACGTGAGACACGTGTGCAGCACGGGCCACGTGGCTGATGGAGGCGGCGGCACGATTAGTTAACAAATTAAAATAAGAGTCTCACACGATAGGTGTAAAAATAGGAATGGAGATATAAACGTGAAGCCGTCGTATCACTTTAGCAGCACCTTTATTTATCCTAACAACCGCGCAATGACACGATCATTAACTTTTCTGGAAGCGTTTCATTCCCATTCACGCTCACAAGTCAAAGACGCTCATAGAGGCAGGTACACGCTGCCGACGTCTCTATAAGGAAGTCAAATGGTGCCAAGGCACGAACTACATAAATACAGTTTAAAACCATGTAACGAGCGTCGTGCGTCAAACAGCATAGGGCATTTAAAGAAATGTTGCCACGCCGCAACCGTCGCTTAACTTAGACATGGCATGAAACATCATCGATTCATAAGGCGGCGCATCGTCGCGCGTTCCTTATGATTCAAAGGTAATTAGGATTAAGGCCGGGTACGCATATAGCTACTTCAAACACCTATTGAAATAGACATATGCAGCTTCCAGAAGTATGAAGCTGGCAAGAAGCTCAACCACGCATAAATATATGGCCACAATATTACGTTATCGGAGGACTCGTATGATTGTGGGAGCAGACGAGCACCTGAGCTACCAAAAAGCTGCCGTGCTCGTTGCATGAGTACCAATGCTTAGGTCCGCAATCTTTGCAACCATGGCCACTAGTACTTACTTGGTCTCGACTGCCTCTATCACAACACTTGCAATAAGGTTGCCGCCACAAAAACTGTTTAAAATTTTTGGTGGCAATGTCTTTCACACTTCACACTATAATCCTGCAACCATAAGGACGCTGAAAACGAAAAATTATGTCTTTTCGTCACCGTTGTTCCCTTGTAAGGCAAGTTTGCCAACGGCTGTTAGCTGCCACTGGTTTCACCCTGAGCCCGTCCCTTGCGACCAGCTCTCTCAAAACGAGCCGTTCAGGGCCCGCACGCCGGTGATGGCACTCCACAGTTCGATGACAAACTCATCTGTGAAGCCGAACGCCTCCAGCTCCGAGTTGTCCAGCGCCTCAGCGAACTGTTCCGGACTGCGCTTGTTCTCCCCGAGCTCCCAGATCTGGGCGGCTGTGGAGATGACAGAGAGAGAGCGGGGTTTTACTCATAGGCACAATCAGAGTCAAAGCGATTACGTCCGGTCAGAGGTCATTACGTCAGGTCAGGGTCACCTGAACGTAATCGTTTTCACCTTTGCACGGTAGAGTGTACTTAAATATCGGCTTCATTACGACGTTGTTTTATTATGTATCGTTTGTATCTTAGCTATTTTTATAATGCGTTACTTTTTACCTGTATTGATAATTGATATTTGATTTATCATATTGAATGAAATTAGGTCGTAAATTTACCAAGTTCTCCGTCGCTGATTCCCAGGAAGCCGTCCAGGAGTTCGTTGATCTTGTCTGTGCCGGCCTCCGTCAGATCGGTCGGCTAGCAAAATAAAAACAGACCATGTGATAAGGACTGAACAGACCGTGCGGTCCCATAGGCGCATGCCACAGCTGCCAGCACGCCGCACGGGTGCACGCGAGAAACACATTGGAGGTGAGAACAAAACAAGCAGTGATCGAGTTGGCGTGGACAACGGTAGAACACGTGGCTCATAAATTACTGCTGAACTTTACGGCTGGGTGACTGACTATGTTGGGCAGCCATGATAAAGAGTAGGTAATCATATTCTCAAAAAAAAAAAAAAAAACAAGCAATATCATTGGTGTCTTGCGATTATTATCATAAACAAGAGGAACAATGGTTAATTCAACGATTAATTTAGAAATACATTAGACACTAAATATTCAGGGTTTTTCGCTCATGAGGCAAAAGTCTCCACGCTTTCGCAGCGTCGCACCACCACACACGACCGTCCAGTCACACATGAGTGATCACAGACGCCGGTAAATCCTTCTCGGCGCCCATTTCTACCAGCGTGGGCCTAATGCGGGCGTAGGCACGCACCCGAGCCGGCCGTTCCCCTCCGCTGCACCCGCACACCCTGCCGGCTGGTGGGGCGGCGGGTCAGGGCGCCCATTAGCCCGCCGAGACCGACATGCGGCGCCTGGGTGACCCCAGTGTGGGCACACTGACTGACCGAGCGGCAGACGGACAGATGGATAGAGGGAAGGACTCTGTACTCACCGCCTGTTCCACCACTGCTGGTCCGTTGGCTCGGAATCGTAGTGTCGCCTTCCCCGAGCCGTACTGGGGAGCTTTGCTGCCCGACTTCGGGCCGGACCGGGGCCCGATATTGGCTGAAATGAGCCAAAGGAGGAATTAGATAGCTGGCATATTTCATTAAAATAGAAAAGGAAGCGGATTGCAAAACTTCTAAAGTCCTTGATATATAAGCGACAACGACAAAAACCTGAATTAAGCAGATTAACTTTTAGAGAAAAAATGTAAGAATTCCCTGAAGAAATCACAATCATTCGCCTAGGGATCAATCGGCTTTACAATTACAGCGTCCCCAAATTCAACCACGAAGCACCATGACGGCCGACAGCTCTCAATAATAATTTTCGATGGTTACATTCATGTAAATCGCAATGACTAGGACTCATTTCAGTGCAATTTGTAGTATGTACAGCTCTCATTCCTTCCACCACACCACGTCACGCCTGACGTCACTCACCGAATCCTGCCGTGAGCGGTTCCACGGCCCTGAGTGTGAATGTGGTGCCCACGGGGATCTCCTTCAGCATTCTGGCGACGTCAAAGTGCCGGCAGCCCACCAGACTGACGTCATCAATCCTCTCCACGTGATCTCCGACCTGCCGAACGGACATGGGGGGAGGGGGCAAGTGTGAGTAGGTGCGGCAGTTTTAGTCAGAAGGAAGGCACCATACGACAAGACGCCGCTGACATATGAAGGGTATTCATGTCTAGCTAGCCATGGAATAACATGACGAAAAAAAGATACTGATATACGATTGTAGCAGAAGCGCTTATCGGATCAGCAAATATTTCAATAATATCCATTGCAAATAAATTACCTATCACACATCCCCGTAGGCCGTGTCTAATGTCTAATCTTTTTAAACGTGTGTCCATCACTTTGCTGACATAATGGTCCCATGTGGCTTACACCTGACCAATGACCAGCCTACAACCTTCCCCCCTCGCTGCGCTCCGCTTCGTGCCAGAGCATCGCTAAGCGTGTTCACAGTTCAGTGTATCGTCTGTGCCCCGTACAGACGATAGTACCGACCGAGGGTACACGATAAGGACACGTCTAACGCCTCCTCGCTCTGTGGTAGATATCGTATCTCCCTCCCCCGATCTCAGGCTTTACAGGAAGGACAGAGGGGCCGGGGTGACGTGAGCTTTCCAAGAAGCGATTTGAACTAATCGAAAATAAACGGGGCTGTGAAGTGTAGATACTAGATGTGGAATGTGATTCGCCAAAAGTGGTTGATTGAAGGCACCTTGCTTTTCAGCGATGGCTCCTCATCTCTCCCCACCTTGATGTGACCTATCTTGTCAGTGCCCCTCCCATATCCCACCTCGATGTTAACCCTATTAGTGGCAGGCTCCTGGCTACCCCCTATTAGTGGCAGGGGGGGGGGGCTGTTTACGACCCCCCCCCCCTTGATATCTCTAGATCTAACGGGCCGATTTTCAAAATTCAAACGGCATTCGATTTCGCTCAACGAGATCTACATTTCTAAAAAAAATAAAATTAAAAAATGTCAATAGAGGGGGGAAGAGGGTAGAGGGGGGTAAAAACGGGCAAGTTGCACATACATTTTAGACTGTTTATCACGGCCAGGTTTCTGAACCAATCTTAACGCAACTTTTGCCGATCGATAGAGAATGAACCAGGAATTCACATGGATCCTAAAAATATGCATTTTCAAAAATCATAGGCGGATACAGATCATTGAGATTGGGGGTACACAAAAAGTATAGTAAATAAGGTTTTTGTTGGTACTGTTTCTAAAAAGGGTGGCAATGGTCTTGTTATGTTACAATTTTCTTATGAGAGAACGACTAAAATTGTATTGGTCATGCATAGGCGGTGTCAGGGCACCTATGTTGGGAGGTAAAAAATAACCCCCTTTTTGGACGCCTGGATCCGCCTATTATAGCAAAAACGTGTCAAAAGAGGATGCACAATAACTTTGTATATGTTATCACATGATACCTTTCATTCACTGTTCGTAAAACTGGTGCAGCATCGTGATCTTCGCCCAAATGACTCGCTTCACGAATAGGACCCCCCAATTCCCAGTGCTCTGGAGCCGCCCCTGGTAAAGTTATGAACTTGAAATTTTCAGGGAATATGCCCAATTTAGTTTTAGGAAAAGTCAGAAAATTTCAGCATCGTAGCTTCAGCGGTTTCGGAGATATTCCCGAAAAACCTGAGGGGTGGATAAAAACAACCCCCCCTGCCACTAATAGGGTTAACTAGCCACTACCCACCCTGCCCCACTCACAATTTCCCACATTGATGTGACCTAACCGGTTTGCCCCTCCCTCCCCACCTTGATGTGACCTATCTGGTCAGCCCCACCCACATCCCACCTTGAGACTTGATGTGACCTATCCAGTATCCAATCTGTCCCATTTATTTCCTTACCTTGATGTGCCCTATCCGGTCTATGACGCTGTCCTCCTTGATGCGCTTGATGAAGGCGTAGCCGGCCCCGTTGTCGGTGATGGTCAGACCCAGGGCGTCCTCGGTTTTGGTGATCTCTACCTCCTTCGCCTGACCTGACCGGGTAAACAGTATTCGGTCAGCCATCACGGACGCACTACCGTACGGGAGGATATTTAAGAATTGCAGGCAATACAATATTTCAAACCGTGCCGAGGTATCCACTTTTCAATGACGAATTAAAACGACTCTAAGCTTAGATGCATCGCCTTGGATGTATTCATAAAAAGCAAACATGACAAAAAGAAACGAGACATACCTAATGTTTGAAACTGAAATTCAGGCGATACACTTGAGGGATAAATCATTTGAATTAGGCGATACACTTGAGGGATAAATCGTTTGAATTAGACATGAGCAAAACAAGTATTTGATCAGGCATGTCAATCAACGAGGCGGCAACACAAGTACACAGCCAGCAGATCGCGTGGAGCCTGGAGACGGTTTCTACTGGATTCGTTCTTAAATATATATTTGGTAGTCACAATAATATTGTATCGGCAATAAAAACCAGCGCGCTGTTATTAACGTCATACGGCGCGCCGCAAGCCTACCTTTCTTGTGTGCGAAAATGAAGTCGTCCAAGCCGATCTGGGCTCCCAATAGCTTATTCATGTCGACCTTGTGTGTATTTAATGTGCAAAACAGAATCTGAAACCAGAAGAGAGAAACAAATAGTCAACACAACGCACGCCAACATGAAAGAAAGCTAGCAGCACCAAGCAATGAATAATGGAAAAAAGGCATAATAAGGGATTTGTTATTATCATCACAGGATAGTTCAAACTTTAAATCTCTGAGGGTTGGCTCACCAAATCCATCTATGTTTGTGGCGCTATCAAGCACAGCAAAGACATGCCCGGTCACACATGGCTGTCCTTACTCCTTTCCCACAGGCTAATGCATATTTTGGCCATATATCCTAACCGTCTCCCATTTTCAGTCTTACACTGGTGTCCCACGAGGCTTCATCAGTCCCTTCCGACCTCATGAGGTCGCATCGAACCCTCCCGGTCGGCCGGTGGCCCCAAAGAACACGTGGGTGGCCAGATGGGAAGGGTTCCCAGTCTCACACGGCCCGGGCTGTCCCCTCCCGGTCCCATGGCAGACATTTAATTAACGCCGGTGACAGATCGGATTGTAAGGGCTCCGGCGCCGTCTGGGCTGTGAGTCGGGTTAGAAATCTTGACACATGTCACTGTGCCTAAAGTCATACCGTCATGTCATCTCATAATGCCAGAGCGAATCCATCATCCGATTCACGGAGCATGAGCTTACTTACTCCAATTGCTATATGCTATACTAAAGCATATGTGCTGCAGCAATCGAAGGAAATGTCCCATGCCCATACAGGCATGGCATGTAACATTTCATGAGCCAAGTTTGACCATCACATTGCATTACTGGTGAGAAACTATGTCCATCACTCAAACCATTACCACATATATCCCCTAGGCTCGGATGCCTTCAGAGCAAAGTTTTCAGTCGTCGCTCTGAAACCGGCGGTACAGGCACGTGCCAGCCTCCCCTCCCTCCTTCCCCTCAGGCTACTCGGCATTACGCATCACGGACCGACTCCTCCCCCTCCCCCCTCCGCTTCCTGTTCTACTTCCGGGGATGGACACACCCCGCGGTGGCCCGCACACGGTCGACGGGCTTCGCACGGGTGGATATATGGGTGTCGGGAGTGGGTCAAATCGGGCTGCGGCGGCGGCGTACTGATGAATGTTTGTAAAAGCCATGGGGAAGAGAGGAGTCGTGTAAAAAGTGTCACCGACTCACCTGTCGCAGCAATAGGTAGGCACTCCGGAAATTTTTGGGAAAATCTGCAGCTAGACAAGGTTAAAAAAATATATCTTTTTGCTGTTGATCGTCAGAAAAAAAACGTAAAAATGTTCTACGGTGGATTTAAGAAATGGAGTGGCAGTACGAGTCAGCCGACCGCAAAAGCCTGTGATGACACACTGGACTCCCGAGTCAGGTCGGACGCAGGCCGCCTGGTCGGGAAGCCCTGCTATGCCCGATCCTAACGGATCGACAGTCGGCCGGTCTGCCGGACCCGGCCCCAGCCCAGGGCTGAGCTGGGACCCCCGACTGCAGCCCAGGGGTGACTGGGGCCCCGCCCCAGCTGAGGACTCAGTGCTGAACTGGACCCGACTGTAGCCCAGGGCGGAGCTGGGGCAACAGCTGGGGGCTCGGAGCTGGGACAACAGCTGGGGGCTCGGAGCTGGGACAATGGCTGGGGGCTCGGAGCTGGGACAACAGCTGGGGGCTCGGAGCTGAGCTGCACGCAGCGGAAGGCTCAGGACTGAACTGGGACCCCCAGCTGAGGGCTCAGGGCTGAGTTGAGGCCCTGCAGTTGCAGCCCAGGGCAAGAGCAGAGCTGAGTGGGGCGGACACTGCGGGGTAGTGAAAGTCACAAAGCTTCACAGGAACGCGGTGGCCGGCAGATGAGAGGCAGATGAGAGCCAGGGCAGCCACCAGAGCGGATGAATGTAAGTCAGGTTGAACAGTCGTCACACCAGCCAGTCACCAGTAACCGACAAACTGACCACTGCAAGGCTTCTACACAACCCTATCAGTTTTGTCTCCATGCTCCCTTCTTCGCGGCATTGCCGGTGTGCCGGTGACCATCCCAACCTGCTGCGAGAGACAAGCAGCAGCTGCGGCTCGGAAACACAACACCACACCACCGGCGCCGGCTCTCTGCGTGACGGACAGACACAGCAGACAGCAGCCGGCCGGCCGGCCGGCCCGGTGACCCGCATTCCAGCCACCTGTTCACCGACAGGCTGCCGTCTGTGCTCGATGGGCTGTGAGTGTGTGAGCTGAGTCACAGCACGGCGTGTGTAATTGTATGTGTGATGGTGTGTTGTTCACTGTTCACTAATAATTAGAGCATCTGAGCAGACCGGCGGAAGGCGAGGGCTGTGCTATACGGAGTGCGCTTCTATGGCTTCTTCCAGGGGGCAGTGAACTGTGGTGCTAATGACCAACAGGCGACGCAGATAACGTATGTATGTAGCTGGGACTTTGATGTAAAAAAGTGATCAGAAACGTGGTACAAAGTGATAAACAGGGACGGAGGACTAAACGGCTGTAGAGTCAGCGGCTGTATGAATACAGCTGTTCAGTCGGACGACTGAAAAGTGCCGGCCTCGTGCTTACTGACAGATATCGGGCGTTGAGTGAGTTAAAGGTAGACTGCCACCTTTTTTCACAAAACGGTTTTCACTAGAGCTGAGCCACCTATGTCCCAGACTGAAGTCGGTTTTCCGAAATTCGAACCCGTTTGCGAGAAATCGGAGACCAAAGTTCAGTTTGATGCCATTTTTTTAGTCCAAGAAAACCGACATCTCTACTGTTTATCGATAACTTTGAAACATGAATTTTCTTATCTTTTGGCAAATATATGTCAAAACTTTGATTGTTTCGAGATCAGAGAAGAATTTGGGAGTGTCAAAATAAAAGTTAAACTTATATATTCAGTAGTTCATTTTTTCCAAAAAAGTGTGGGAAATGGGGTTTAACATGGGCCAGACCCATTCCAAATGAGCCATGATTTTTAAATGTTTTACGAAGTTAAATGCAAAATAAATTAAACATGGCCAATTTCTTATGAAATCATATATTAGTAAATCATAAAATACCTTACTTTTTCAAATAAAATGTAATAATCTTATGACCTTGAAGTCTAGTGATGTGTATACAATGTCGCTAGACATTAACCGATTGATAATTGTATGATAATCGATAATTTTTTTCGCGATTCACGTGATGATACTTTGTCAGGTGAATTCTAAAATTTTGTTTTGTCCAGGGAATAAATCATAGGCCGATCTGAGAAAACTTTTTGAAGGTGGCAGTCTTCCTTTAACATTAAAAGCGAAACAAAGCAATGCGTGACATTTCAACGTCCTGACAACCGAAAAGGCTGTGACCCCTGTCACACCACCACTTCACCCGCCATTGACCCCTCATCCTGTGATGATGGCAGGCGTGATGATGCAGAACTAGCATCAGGGCCGATGGCTTTCTCTGTGCCTCTGACACAGGAAGGAACCATTAATAACTGGCGTCCAGTCGTCCGGAACCGGCAGTGCCCGGTCGCGCACGGCTGACACCGTTTACAGGCTGTTAATTTATCGTGGGAGAGACGTAACGGCTGGGTGAACTGTGACTTGCAAACATTACGAGCCGTACAACATCCCCACATCAGAGTACGTTAGAAGTTTGAACGTTATTTGCCTATGACCTATCATGCCTTTGTTGATCAGCTGGGCGGAAACAATTCGATTGCAACGATCGGGGACGGTCTTTTAACCCGCGCACCGACGGGGGTCTGCGCCAACTTCGCACCGACGGGGGGGGGGGCGGATGACCGCCCCCCTGATATCTCGAGAACGAAGCAAGATAGCGACAAGCGGTAAACGGCATCGGATACGCACGGACAAGGTCTACAATTTTTACTAAGGTCATTTTCAGGTCAGGTCAAAGATGACGTCACAGGGGTCGAAAAAGTCAAAATGGCGGCGCTAGATATGGAGAGTTTTTCTCGAATAACTTTCGAATTAGTCAAGCTAGGAACAAAATAAGGGCAGAATCGTGATCCTCTCGTCAATCCGCATCGAATGATATATATGTTGACCTCGAAAGGTCAAGGTCAAAGGTTGACCTCAGGTCACGTGACTTCGAGGTCATCATGTATATCATTCGATGCGTCTTGATGAGCTAAACACAATGAGACCATCCGCGCGGCTGTATCTTGTTCCTGTACGGAGTTATTTGCAAAAAAACCTTTGGTGACCTTTGATGACGTCACATGACCTTACAGCTGCCCAACAGCAAAACAGACCTCAAGGCTCAAGGTAGTGAAGGTTGATCGTATATGAAGTCATGTATGGTATATGTGGCCATTCCGACCCCTTCTAGTGGTAAAAACAGGGAGTTGATTTTTCCCCCATTGACTTATAATGGGGAGGTCGAGAAATTGACCTGACCTTAGGTCACCGACATCAAAATTCCGAGATAAACAAATTGTAGCTACTAATGATCTAATAACATCCTGCGACTTTCAAAGGCCTCCGACATCTACTGTAGCTCTGGCACGGTGGCAAAGTTGCAAAAAAGTGACTTGAGGTTGGGTCATTCAAAGTGACCTGGTGACCTGACCTTAAAAGTTAGGAGGTTCAAACTTGCACACCATGTGTAAAATTGATGAAAGAATAGTCGTACCAAATTTCGCGCCGCGTATTCCCGCTATCCGCGAAAAATCACAGGGGCGGGCGGATATCCGCCCCCCCGTCGGTGCGCGTGTTAAATGCAGCCATTATTCAGCAAAAATAACAACGACTTGCAAATCCAAAGGGAAAGTAGTTGATGGGAATATCTTTAGTCTGTCAGCACGAGCCATGCAGATGCTAGAGCACTCATTGAACGCTGTGCCATCTCGGGCTACCGCTCAGCCGTTTAACTGGGTCGTGCGACCATATGCGCCACCAATGTGAGAGTCACTGTCTGGCGACCGCTCGTTGACCACCCAGTGACCGTGCAGTGACCGTCCAGTGACCATGCAGCGGTCGGTGACTGATGGGTCTTTGTCCAGTCACGGGACGGTGTCAGCAAACCGTCACGGCGTGCCTCAGAGTCACGAGCCGGGTGACAGCCGTCACGGGACGAGTCACAATGGTTCGGGAGGGGAGAGAGAGGAGAGGGGAGTGGGGAGGAGATGGGAGGGGAGGGGAGGGGTTACATACCGCAGCGTGCAACTCGGGAAGGGAGAAGTGAGGGGTAACGACGGGTCTAGAGAGTCGGGTAACCAGAACTACGGGTAAACTCAATGAATGCCGAGTGCCGACAAACCTGGGGAAGGGTCATTAGAGAACAACATCGAAAGAAAGTACTTGCACATTGCACAGAGCCGTTAGAAAACGGTCATTAGTCGTCACCATAGGCCAAGGAAGGCGGCAGGAGTACAAGCGGATATGATGAACTGACACTATGGGCAGGGAGTGTGTGCGTATGAGTTTGGGGTGGGGTGTCTATTGTGTTCAAGAAGTGCATTGTGCAACGAATAATGCATATCCGGCCAAAGTGTATCACAAAGACAATCGATTTCATTCAGCTTAGCCATGACAGCGGTCCTATCTCGTGCCGCTGCCGATAGTCGAAAAATTTTATCTGACCGATAGAAAGCCGATTGTCCCGTTATCTGAGTGCCCTGACATGGGCCACCCGGATGCATCAAGCACCAAGTCCAACCAGAGCGCCGTGGGTTGGGAGCTGGGACCGCAGCGCGGCGGAGCCTCACCTCTGAGACCGGCAGCTTGTAGCACTCGGCGATGCGCTGGTAGAGCTCCTTGACGTTGCCGAAGCCGGAGATGATGCCGGTCGGACTGCCGTGCGCCAGCTGGCAGTGAAACTGCAGCTTGGGCTGCGGTGGCGTGGCTGGTCGCGGCGGCGGCGGCGCCGGGTAGCTGGGCGGCGCACTCTGGGGCGGTCGCTCCCGCCGCGGCGCCGCGTGAGGGGAAGGAGAGGGCGAGTCGTCGAGAGGCGGGGCTGACGGAGCCACACCGTTCGCCCCACTCTCGCCGTCCCTCCTGCGGGATTTACCGAACAGCGGCATGGTCCGACGCGCCGCGACCTGCGTCACTCGTCACACAGCTCAACTCACACACGCGTCACTGCCGTCACACAATTCACACCACGCCGTCACCTGTGCCCGCCTGTGACGCTGGCCACTGCAGAGCTATCTCTCTCTCTGCGACCAGCGCCGCGCGGCACAGCGTTATCCAGCCGAGCTGATAAGCCGGGAACGCCCCGCCGGCCACCCCGCACTCAGCTGACTGCAGAACGACGGCCGGCTGACAGCGACGAGCGGCCGACCGTGACGGGAGCGACGCGACGATGGGACGACGGCGAGTCTCCAGCGAAGGCGGCGATGGGATGAGAGTCTGGGAGAGGATGTGACGGCGGCGGTCCGGATGACGACTGAGGCGGAACTCCGGCGCTGCCGCCCTCGTCTCGCGCCGGACAAGTGGCCGCAATCATGGTCTGGTCACGGGCTATGGGACCGTGCGACACCTGTCATCGGTGGGGCAGGTGCGGTGCCGTGCTGCCATCTAGTGACAGGATGAGAGGTAGGGTCTCCGAAAATAGCCGGTAGGAGCGCCGGTGAGGTCCGGGTCCGAGAGATCTGTGGAAGGTAGACAAGTGACAACCGGAGTGAGCGAAAATCAGGACAGGGACTGGGCTGGTAACGATGAAAGGCATGTGTTGAGCGCAAATGAGAGGAGCAGACTTTAACAGTACGAATGGGCGATGATAATAATTTGCCGGTTGATACTTGTTGTTATTTGACAGTTGAAAGGCGAATGCATAATGCCAGCGGAGTTGTTCCATGAAACAAAGTCGTTTATGCGACGGTGAGTGATTACATGTATTACACAGTGCACTGCAACATATTCAGTTTGCCATAGTTCACCACACTTATCATATTACTACATCCTTAAATGTGCAGGCTTTGACGACAGACAAGCGGCATTCGCAGCAATATTGAATATTGATAATTGGTTTAACACATTTGGCTCAACACAACAGAAATTGAAAGAGTGCAGTCTCGTTATCATTTCCGATAGAAGCTATTTTCGATGACTAAAATACACCCCGCAGGCCGCATAGGTAGTTGGGTGCCCTCAAATATCTATTCCGCTCCATACAAATAGCCCATGGTGCGCTCAGTTCTGGCGAAACGTACGCATTCATCCTGATGTGCCGTTGCTGACGATCATACATCAACAAAATAAACACCCACAGGCACACTTATCACAGACAGCGGCAGGAAACGCATCGACAGGAAACCCACTCATTGAACACCAGTCACGTTCTAGTAGACGGTAGCACACGTGAAGCGAGAAAATATCATACAGCTGAAACAATACAGACATGCCCATTATGCAGTACTCTGTCACTGCCTTATCCCACAATGTCGCAAGTTCGTCAGTTGTTATCCTCCCAACTCGTGCAGATACCGCCAGAACACATTAGAACTTGAACAATCCTTGATAACACATCATGTCGCACACTTTTGTTGGTAGCCTCACGACAGGCCAAGACTTGGTGCTCCCGCTGCCCTAGCTCCAAAATGCGGTGCGTAGGCCGCTGACTGCTGTGAGATATGAACATTGTCAGCCTGGAAATGCCCGAGAAATTGAATACTTTCTGTAGCTCAGCACGTAGCACACACAAAGCATCTGCCGAGTTTTCGGCTAGCCGGTGGCACGGTAGAAAGCCATAAATATGTGTAAATGTAAACCAGAGGACGTTAAGCCACAACGAACCCTACGCGGTTTCAATCTGAGCCCCATCCCCAACTGCCGCCTCCTTCGCTTCTTCATCGCCCTCTTTCGCACCCTTCAGCTCTTCTCCCTTATCTTCCTTTGTCTCTACAGCCACCTCAATTCCCGTCTCAGCCTTCTCTGCCGGCGCTGCCCCTGGGTCTCCAGCTCCAGTGGCTGACTCCGGCTCCGCCGTCTCTGGACCCGGCTCCTGGCCGCTCGGTGCCGCCTCCGTTGGCTGGGCGCCGCCCGTCACAACAGACTCGTTGGGCTCGTCAAAGAAGATGATCTCCTCTGGGTCCGGCGCACGCGGCAAGAACTCCTCGCCAGGGAAGTGGGCGGTGAACAGGTCCCGTGCCTGGGGAAGAGAAGACACCCGTTATCAGACGGTCAGACGCCAATAAACGCCACTCTCTATTCACCACAGGAAGTTTGAATGACAGCTGAGTACACAGAGTAGACAAGACGTAAACATATATTTTTTTTTTCTAAGCAGTGAGTTAACACTCATTCCCTGGTGACGCAAGACTTCATAGGCTAAAACGTGACACATAATTGAGTTCGAGGCAGCCGAATAAAATAAGTTCATCTTTTCAAGCACGTACAGGGTGTCTCAAAAGTTCGCTTACAGGTACCAGCCATGCTTTTTTGTCAATAATTCTGAATCAACATGAAATTAACAGTCGAAATTTTGCATGGGCATTGGTAACAACCTTCCTCAAGCAGCTTCATTGTTTTCAAGCGCATTCGACCCTTCATGAGCTCACAAAAAGGGTTTACCTCTGACCATGGATCAGGCATGAAAATGGAGGTCGCATACTCGGGTCGGCTGAGAAACTCTCTGCTTCACGAGTAATGGGAATGGTTAGGTCGGAAATGACACATGGCAAAGTGTCGGCGAGGATGAGTACAACATGATGGTCATCTAATAAAAACGGTGGCTAAAATTTTTGAAGGACAAAACAATGCGAGACTAACAGCGCTTTGAACGACCCTTGTACCGCAGCAGACTCGTGCTCCGGAAAGCAGCTGAAAATGCAGTCATAACTATTGAAAACTGACTAGAAGCTCACAGACAGAGGTTACCCAGTTTCAAAAATTGCAGGTCATCATAAAATAAAGACAAAATATCATTTAAAATTGTTTATAATATCTATAACGCTAAATTTTGAGGGAAAATAATGCGAATAATCGTCAATGCTGGGGACAAGTGACCCTCCAAAACTGTCAATTAATGTAAAGTTTTATCTAACGAAGTTTCAAGAGGCAGATCTGGAGCAAATAGCTTTCTTTTACACAAAAAAATCCTGACAAAACCGCACGATGGACAGGTTTTGGCCGTTTACAAAGCAGAACCTCTCCTGAGGAAAACACTCCGGAACCCAGCAAAGGTCTTGGCATGGGGAATGACGAGCGTTCGGGATTTGCAAATTTTGCAAAATGTGTCTAAGAAACAGATGGCCGACACATTCTGCTACGATATGCTGCGAAACATTTGCCCCTGGCACTTCCCATTTGTTCAGGAATGGGGTTGTTTTGAAAAGGAAAATGGTGCTTGGGAGGTCGGCGCCAGTCATTCATGAAGGAGTTAGCGCCAGAGAAGACCTACAAAATACTCACGGATGGTGTCGATGCAAGCTATCGGCTTTCAGGGAGAAGCGGATGTTGCCGTGGAGCTCGTCAAACCTAAATCCGACGCAGAAACTGCGGGGGATTCCCCTACAAGAGCTTGAAAGCTGGTAACCTTTTATCAGCCTCCGGCAGCTGACGGAGCGACGAAAATCGGTATGGGCAAATATTTTTGGAGATACAGCAAAGGGTTTGGTTTCCAACCTTCCGAATCAGTTGTCAAAGCATGCATATTTGTCTAGTGTACACACGGACACCAAAACCTTAGAATTTTGGCAGGTTCTTATATGCTTTATTGACATGAGAAATGTGTAAACGAACTTTTGAGACACCCTGTAGAGTGACACCCAAAGATATATCTAACAATTTTGAAAGACTATAAGAAACGGTACAAAACTACTCACTACTCAGCATTTCAAGAGGTTATTGTATGTTATAAAATACGAGTAACTATGTACGATATCCGAGCACACCACCAGACTGGACCCCAGCACCCACTTACCTCTTGCACGGCAGCATCAAACCCAATCGCGTCATCAGGTCCGCTGCAGAACGCCACATTATCCGGCAGTCCCTCCCCGTTAGCACCTCGGCCGCACCGCCTGCTGAAATACAGCGAGTAGAGCACCCTGATGGGCCGGGCCGTCTCCGGAGCGGGAGTCTCGTCCGGGTCCTCCTGGGAGGCGACAGCGAGCTGCTGGAGACGTGCCACGGCCGGAGCGAGGTCCTCTTCCGCCGAGCCGCGCGCCGCGCACGTCAGGTGGATCACGTCTGTGGAGGTGAGGAGCGGGGGAGTTTAATAATGGGTCACGACTGACGACTCACGAATAGTCACTGTTTACTGAAAAAGCGAGAATAAGTGAGTGTACTGTGTAGTGGGGTCACAAAGAGATGAGCTAGAATGATAGAACTGCTATAATGTTGAAATTTGCGCCGATAAAATTGGTAATTACGTCGTAAAACCGATATAATGCATTTCGAATTGCACCCATAAAAGGCTAATACAAAATGAGTCATGTGGCGACATGCACGTCTCGGCAACAAAAGCACTGCCTAATTCAAAACTGGCTATCAGCATCACTCAGCACCCATAGCTGGGCATTTCCCATATAACCAGTAACCACATCACCCGCGGTGCCCTCGTCATCTCCCCAGCCACTCACAGAGTCCGGCGGGCGCGGCGGAGGCGGCCGGTCCCGCCTGTAGCACGGTCACCGGTCCGGGATGGTCGTCACAGGCGGGTAGACGGATCAGCAGTACCTGGTCATCGGCCGGAGGGTACAGCGGACTGTGGGCACAGAAGACGGCGGGGGAGGGGAGACGTGTGAGTTGGAGAGCGGCAGAGGGTTGAATGTCTATGAGGAATCAAAGCGTCAGTGATTACTATGGTTAAGAGTTTTGAGAGCTAGCTGAGGGCCGTGACCAAAGAGGAGGGCCGATGGGTGGATAATATACCCAAGAGGGGCAAGTCTGTGAAGCGATGTAATCACATCTCAGAAATATTTGCATTAAATCATTGTGCGAAAGACCGAGGAAGGACTCAAATATAAAATCATAAATGCACGGATAAGTGAAACCTCGAAAAACTTCTGGAGCCTCCCAACGCTATTTCAGCCAAACTATAAAGAGGGTATACTAAACACAAGTACAATCAACGACAATCCACGCCTACTCACCCGTCTGTGATGACGACCGCCCTCGACACGCCGTCCCCGCCCTCCACCGTCTCCGGTCGGTACGCGTCTTCTAGCACCAACCGACGGCAGGTGAACCGCTGTCCGTCCGAGACGACGCCCGTCAGCGCTCCGTCCTCGTCGACAGTGACGGCCTCGACGCCGCGACTCAGGTGGTACACGCCTCCAAACACCGCACACAGTCTGGCGGAGGGAGAGGGGTGGAGTCAGAGGCCTCCATATCGCGACTGAGATGGCACACGCCTCCAAACACCGCACACAGTCTGAACAGAGGGAGAAGGGTGAAGTCAGAGAGCGACACGTGGGTGCAGCGCATTCGGTAAATGACAAGTGGTAAGCAGATGGAATGGGTGGAAAGGACAGCCTACCAAAAACACGAGGTCACGTGTTGTCCAATATAGGCCGGCCTAGAGAGAGCATCTGCTTTATGAAATTATAGATAACATTGCTGCCAGACCGGTGCGAGCGACTTTAGCGAGTGTCATTTGAGCGAACGTCATTTGAGCGAACCATTTTCAGCGACTGGCAACTTAGCGAATATCAAATTGAGCGACTATCAAATATAGCGACTATCAATTTAAGCGAAAGCTATGTTTCAGCGACATCTTTTTCGTCGACTACAGTTTGAGCGACTGTCATTTCAGCGAAACACTTCATCGTCCCGTAACGGTGTATTTTTTTCTTTTCTTTTTTTCTTTTGCGAGCGTTCGAGCAACGAATGTTTCCGGAACTTTTCATGGTTATCCGGAACTGGATGGCGGATGTCACGTTCAAAGTTCAGACAGTAAGCTCCAAATTTAATGCCACATTTCTCAAAAATTTCAGCGGTTCGATTTCACCCCCCCCCCCCCCCACCCCTGCTGTTTGCCAATAACGATGACCAAACGTTTGTTCAGAGATTCATATCGCTTGTGCTGTTTTTCGCGAAATTCCCCCGCTTGAATTTGGATCAGTTCCCCATGTTGTAAAATTTGATCTTGCCCCAAGCACCGTACGAATTTCCAGATATTTGGGTGAGGTCCCTGAAACATAGACTGGATCCCCCTGTGCCATCCCTCGAGTTTATTATTGGTCCTTGGCATTCCTTCCATCGTCCTATCTATAGCCTCTAGAAAATCTACAGGGTCTTTCATAATGAATGTTACTTTTGAACGAGCTATTTCTCAGGACATATATGTTCCTCATGTAATATGTACCATCACATGAAACAGAAACACATTAGCGTTTTGGCACACACAACTTTCATTTTAATGCTCCCCAGGAATTTTCCACTGTATCGCCCTTAATTAAGGCACACGTTTCGGCCCTCTGACGAAGGTGTTGCACCCCGCGCCTCACAACGTCTGGGTCCAGGCTTCCAGTAAACCTCTCCACTGTGGTTCGCAGTGGATGGCTGCAGGAGGGTTTTGTCTCAGATCTGCCAATGCGACTCCCCAAAGCCAGTAGTCCAGCGGGGAGAGGTCAGGACTCAGTGGTGGCCATGGTCGCTCGGTGAGGCGGCTGATAACGCGCTCTTCGAGATTCTCGATCAGCCACTGGCGCAACAGCTGCCATGGTGTGCACTGTGGCACCATCCTGCTGGAACCACAGGCCGTCTCCTTGAACCTTGTCCCTGACCTGAGGCAGAAGCATTCCTTGAGCAGCCTGAGGTAAGCCACCCCGTTCAGTGTTGACCCAGGGGAGAGCCAATGGATGAAGACTTGTCCGTCGACCGTAATCCGTAATGCGTTTTAGTGGTGTCGACATACTCTGCTTTTCCGTGAAGGAAAATTGGCGTTGTGAATTTTTTATTTTTTGGATCAATTTGCAACAATACGCATATAAAATTCACGCGGAAGTGATAAATTAAGAGCTCCTAACTAAATGTTCAAAAGTAACATTCATTATGAAAGACCCTGTAGAAGGAGGCCAGATATGTTTGTGGTTTCCAAGCTTAAAATAAAATTTTTAATTTGCCGCGCGCAGCTTGAAGCACATACCAAGCGGGTATTCCAAGGGCAAGAATTCCCGAAAAGTAGCAAATGATTGACTTCCATCGCGTTCGGTTTCGCTGTAATTGTGTTCGCTCAATTGGTCCCCTATTGACCTCCATGTATTCGCTCAATCTGGTTTCGCTGATTCTGGTCCTCGCTTAAGTTGATAATCGCTGTGATCGAATTCGCCGACTTGACAATCGCTGAAAAAGTCAATCGCTTAAATTGATAATCGCTGAAAAGGCTTCGCTCAAATGTCGTTCGCTAAAATGACGCTCGCTCAGGTGTCGCAGAACCCTGCCAGACACATAATCATAGACATCATAGAGGCCGCTCAAAGGCATGCAATCTTTCCGGCCATCAGTATTTAGAGGAAACGTTTCCGTCGAAAAACATAATAGCACCGGATAAAAGCCGCTACTAACCTGCAGAAGCACTGAGGAATTTCTCCACTACCGTACATAGGCCACAGGAACGGTGTGTTGCCATAGCGACCGAGGCTGAGCAGAAACTTCTGCGTGGAACGCAACGCCTCGAGCGTCGGCGTCTCGGGCGTTACCATGGCAATGGCGTGGGTCACGTGGTGTGTGAGATTGTGCGTCAGACGGCGTGACTTGAGGAACTCGCTGAACGGTTTCTCCTCGAACCCTGCGCAGAAGAGAGCGAGGAGCTCATCAGTCAACTTGAAAGGCACCAATCAGTCGTCGTGACACTGGTAGTCGTTGCCGTAAAAATGTATCCCAACAAATATAATATCGATGACAGAAATCTCATGGCAAAGACCCAGGGATTACGTAGGTATTGTATACCATAATTTGACTTATAACAAATCCAACCGTACGGCTGAGCTGTTCATCCAAAGTTATTCCCTAAAAAGGATAAAAACACTCACAGTCCTTCAACCAGCTCACCGGCATACTCCTCTGGGTGTTTCTCCAGTTCGGCGCAGAAGCTGAGCAGCTTCATGAGCAGCCGTTTCTCGACGACCGACACGTGCTTGGTGGTGAACACGTCGGCCCGAGAGCTGGGCACCGGCTGAAGGCGGCCTCCGAGCGGCGTCAGCAGCTGGCCCACCGAGCGGAACTCGGCGTACCGGGCGATACTGGAAGAGATGAGCAGCTCGACCAGCGCGCCGCGGCTGTAGAGAACCTGGGGACGGGTGGTGGGGTGATCAGTCACGAGCACGATAGCGCCGCGACTGTAGAGAACCTGGAGACGGGGAGGGGGCAGGGTGAGCAGCGGGCACGGAGCGGCTCTACCAGCGCTTATGGGAAGCTGCCAGCGGCGACAGCATGAGAACGGTCTGAAGAGGGGCTTGCAACTATTGCTATGGAGTCGTGATGTCTGATGCCAGTTAATGGATTATGAGCAAACCGGCCACGCTGATTCCATTATCACTAGTCAGTTTAGGCTTTAAAAATCGTATATTTGGAAATTCTATACTTTTTATCAACCGATCACTTAATTTTAGCATTGATTCAGTAACCGACCAGACGCTTCAGCTGTCAACCGCATTACAAAAATATGACATATTTACAACCAGTAAAACGCCTTTTGGGCGACTAACGGAGCGAGCGAGAGGATGGGCCTTGCACGTGCGAAATTGCGAGGGGGTACCTCCAACTAACTTGTGCACTGCACCCTACTAACCGGTCTTTAGCGATGTGCCAAATTTCAGCGCAATCGGCCTAGCCGTTCTCGAGATCTGGAAGCGGCACACTGCACGTGCGCACGTGCAAGCGGGGTCCAAACTGACTTTTGCACGGCACCCTACTAACTGGTCCCCAACCGTGTACCAAATTTGAGCGCAATCGGCCCAGCCGTTCTCGAGATCTGGGAGCGCCCCCTGCACGTGCGCACGTGCTGCAGCACCCCAACCTTAACACATGCAGATGAATTATCTGATGGAGACCTAACTGTGTACCGAGTTTCAATTCAATCGGCCCAACCGTTGTGCCGTTATTGAGGTTGCAATTTTGGGGGTTCTTAAAAAAAATGTCCAACTTTACCACGCGCCACGTGCGGTGGTTGGCAAGAACGCATGGTGGCCATCACACCACAGAACTTTTACGTCCAAGTGACATTCAGTAAAGAAGACCGCTTGTCAATCGGATGTCCCGTTCCTATGATATTAGCTTTTGAAGAGCGTCCCCACGGCCGGCCGGCCGGCCGGCCGTCCGCTCATACTCAGGATTTTCCCTTAATTCAGTATGAGACTCCGCTCGCTTCGCTCGCTCCGTAACAAACTATCTCTTGCACGTGACGTACCTTCGGGGCCAGGTCAATGTTAAACCGCCGGGAGAGTTTCTTCATACGGTTAATCGTCCACTCCGGGATCTTCCTCGGAGCCGGCTGTGCCTTAACCGGCTCCTCCGGGGAAGCCGGAGCGGCATCTTCCGAGCCGGGCTCCTCCACGGACGCGGAGGGCGCCTCCGCAGTCTCCGGCGACTCTTTGGGAGCTCCCTCCTCCTCAGAGCTCTGAGCGGCGGGGGCTCCGGTATCCTGGTCCACCTGCCCCCCGAGCTGGTCCGTCACAGTTTCAGGGACAGTCGAGGTCACTGTTCGGTCACCATCTGCCGGAGGCTGGTCCTGGGTGGAGGTCTCGGCGCTCTCAGGCTCGGCTGGAACCGGCGGATCGCTGCTTTTGTCGGTCATCCACCGCAACGGAGACGCATCAGTCTCAGCTTCCCCCTCCCTGAGGACGAAAAAAATTGCTGAATAAGTTGCATTTACAGCAGTTTCGCAATAAATTTATGCACAATGAGAAGTGAATGAGGTAAGTAGTGTTTAGTTCAAGCTAAAATAATGAGCTTTGATACCTGACAACACAAAAGGTATGAAACTGAATTATAAGCAGCTGTTAACTTCGAAGGAACTGTTGTTAGGTTAGGTTAGGTAAGTTGCATCCGCACAACCTATCGGAATATCGAGCATCCGTTTATACATCTGCAACATCTCCCTTATACCACTAACTCAATGGCCCAGCGCTGCACCACGCCGTGCACCAGCCGTCTGTGCCGCAGTGGCCGGGTGCCGGGCTCGGCGGGTGCCGGCGGCGGGGTTTCGGCTCCGTCATCGCCGTGCTGTGACACCCAGTCGAGGAGGGCAGTCAGGCCGAGCACGGCCCACTCGCCGCTGTAGTGGGTGTTCCTGGAGCAGCGACATGAACACAGAGTCAGTGCTCAGTCGGACCAAATATGAAGTAATTCTCCACTTGACTGCAGATGTTTGAGGTTATAATGTACATATTAGCTGGGCCAAATGCAGCCAGAAAAAACAGCAATATGAAAAGTTTGTAGACACCAAATGCAATTGCAAAAAGAAGCCTCATATAATATTGGTAAAAACACACAGACCGACCTGTCAATGTGAAGGACTGACTTGCCAACACGTGCAGCAGCAGCAGCATAAATGGACTCCACCAGGCCTGAAAGCATGGTGTGAGTCAGCACAGTTCAATGCCCTTTTCATTTGCTGACATCAAATTGGTAGCCCGTTGCACTTCTACAGAAATGACAAAAGAAATATAAAGAAAAGTTGTTTTACTGTAACATTCTTCAGTTCCTTCACCCATATCATTTTATTACATTGCACTTCAAGCAGAACCACACAATATCACTGAATCCCTATTCCCTCCACCCACCCACCAGGCACCCCCCTCCCCCCCAAAAAAAACGGCAAATCTGAGAAAAACATACCTGTCCCCACAACAATGGCCTCATAATCTGTAGGTAATTCTTCCATGGTGGTGGATATACTACCTGCAACATAATGTAACACTGTCAAGTGTCATATCAATATATGGCAATTGGCTTATCCATATGAATGAGTCATAAAATATTGTGATACTGATATGGAACAAAATGCAGCCCAGCATTAAGTTCTACTTTTCTTCTGTTGTCAACCCTCACAGGGAGAGTTATAGGTGAATGACTGTGGTCAACATACATCAAGGGAGTCAAAAGAACCCCTTCAACCTTCAGTTCTTCCTGAATAACCCGCATAACAAGCAGCTTGCAAGTTGCAACAAACTTTCATTTCCCTTGATCAATTTTACAACTTCCCTGATAATTCCTTGACCAACTTAAAGTGACCATTCCACCTTAACATTAGTTTTGAGTTGAGATAGCTGAAATGGGGTCCCTGGCTTCCACTTATCGGATTGAGCACCCACAGACCACAACATCGAGAAATCCCTCAAATTGAAAATATCTAATTCCAAAGTTGCAGCACTTTGGATTCAGAGGGGCTTATGCATTTGCATGCCCCCTCTGAATGTGTGACGTCAGCGCAGGTCTAATGATTTTAAATATTTTACTAAAACGTTTGGTAACATGCAGTGGTATAGTTATGCTGCTTTGAGCATAACAAGTGCAGCACTTTCAGCTGCACAAAACTGTTGCTTACAAATAGAGTCGCTAGGAACAGCGGAGATCCCAAAAAGTAAACAAAAGTAAAAGTCTAATATCTTGAAAACCGGTGAATATTTTTAAGTGAAATTTGGTAGGTATTCATTTTCATTCTTTCTGAACCGAGCGACATCACTTTCATGCCAATTCATTAACTTTTTTGAAGGTGGGAGGGTCCTGCTAAGTGACCTCAACCTTTCGACTTGTGGCCACTTTCCTCATTCCTGAGACCATATTGCCAGGCCAGGAAAATGACATGAGGGCGGTGTTTCACGGGACACTGCTACCACGCTGCTATCAAATTGCGCGAGCTGACGTCACACTTGTGGTAGTGTTGGAGCAATGGGCCTGTTGATGTTTCCATGGAACCCAATTTGACACGTGTAAAAGCAGCGTGCTGCTATCACCGGTGAAACAGGAGGGGTGTTCACGGGCACCGCACACTGCTGCGTGCGGTGTGTGCGGTGCGTCCAGCAGGCGTGGGGGTAGGGGTAGGCGGCTCTGACGTCACGCCGCCCGACTGGAAAAAATGCCTCCACTACGCTGAAGTTCTCGGCGGAGGTGATGCGCCGAAATTTCGGCGCAAGGGTTTATGCGCCGAAATTATTTTACCAAGCCATGCTTCATGCGCCGAAAATTTTCAAGGCTTACTGATGGCTGCAGGCTGTAGCCACGCACTGTTCGTCGAGGGGGGGGGGGGCTGGCGTGTGTGTGTGACTGTCTTCCAGTGACTACTGTCTACAGACGGTTGTTGGCACGGTCGACGGGATCGGGCAGACAAAAGACATCAGCAGGCCATGCGGGACCGAGCACCAGGGTTCGCTATCACAAAATCTCCTGACTCACAAACTCACTGGCATGTTCCATAACGTAACCTTTATTTTGTTGCCCAGCTCTGATCAGCAGTAGTGCCCAGCCGGTGACTGACGCCTGACGGGGCCTTCAACAGGCGTGGTGCAAGCACGGCCGATGGGATCGGGCAGATACCAGGCCACGCGGGACCGATTGCCAGCGTCTGCTCACAAACCACACGCCGGAAATACTGGAATCACAACGGTCAATACGCACACGATAGCATACGTTATCTGAACTAGGGGATCCGACAATCCATAACCTCACTCTGGATCGTTAAACTGTTCCCGCCGTGGGAGAGTCGCAATCAGGTTCACTGAACATGACTTAAATACCCTGAGACGAACACGAGACAAGATAAGTGATATTTAAGATGTTTAACTCCCGAAGACATTTAACCCTCGCCGGCCGAGGGGGGGTTGGTGCCACCCCCCGGACGTTTTTTTTCGCGATTTACGCCGAAGTACGCCGAAAATTTCGGCGCAAGCCGTCGATTTACGCCGAAGTACGCCGAAAATTTTCGGCGCAAACGCCCAACTACGCTCGAGTTCTCGACGAAAGCGTGCATTCACGGTATCGTGCATTTTTTCCAGTCGGGCGTCACGGCTGCGTGCGGTGGACGGTCCGCTGTGGCCAGTCCCGACCGGCCACAGCGATCGCTGTGTGCGGTGACGGAAGGCTGACGTAGGGACGCAGTGGGTGGAGCTTGGAGGCTGTGTGCGGTCCGACCGCACACAGGACCCATGAACAGCCCTAGGGCCGAGAGGGGTGTTCACGGGCACCGCACACTGCTGCGTGCGCTGTGTGCGGTGCGTCCAGCAGGCGTGGGGGTAGGGGATGGGTAGGCGGTTCTGACGTCACGGCTGCGTGCGGTGGACGGTCCGCTGTGGCCAGTCCCGAGGGCTGTTCACGGACCGCACACAGCCTCGAAGCTCCGCCCACCGCGTCCCTACGTCAGCCTTCCGTCACCGCACACAGCGATCGCTGTGGCCGGTCGGGACTGGCCACAGCGGACCGTCCACCGCACGCAGCCGTGACGTCAGAACCGCCTACCCATCCCCTACCCCCACGCCTGCTGGACGTACCGCACACACCGCACGCAGCAGTGTGCGGTGCCCGTGAACACCCCTCCGACCGGCCACAGCGATCGCTGTGTGCGGTGACGGAAGGCTGACGTAGGGACGCAGTGGGCGGAGCTTGGAGGCTGTGTGCGGTCCGACCGCACACAGGGCCCGTGAACAGCCCTCAGGTGTACCCGTGTCAGCAGTCAGCACACGTTACCTGTGTGTTTCCAGACAATTTGTTATCAGTACCTACCAGTACCTACATAGCCTTGGTACCTACGCCCTGTAAGAATTTTGCCTTCGCCAACATGTGACATGATTGTTAATGTTCCATGGATTGCTTTGCGATAATATGGTGTGGTTTGTATTCAATTTTGAGCCTAACTAAAGGTGCAAAAGGGCGATTTTACCCACAGCACAAAAGTATCCTTATTTAGTACCAAAACACGGCTCACAGCACAACACACACAACACAACACACTGGACAGAGCAGCAACAAACTTAAAGGAAATAGTTCACTTTCACGAAATTATTTTTTTGCAACGGATTTATGATTTTTTATGTTCAAAATAATCAGCAAAGAAAATAAAACCTTTTTATAACAAAATATTATTTTCTATATTTTGATATAGGACGAACTTTTCAGTTTCTGTAAGGCACACGCGATCCAGTATGAAAAGAGCATGGGTCCCGAAAATTCTTCAGAAAAGAGAAATTATCGCAGCCACCGGCATTTGGGCGATCTGCTCGATCTGATAATGTTCCCCTGAATGTCCTAATTGATCAGTACGAGAATTTCTCTAGAGTTCTCGTAGATAATTTCTCTAGTTTCTGAAGAATTTTCGGGACCCATGCTCTTTTCATACTGGATGGAAATATATGCAAGGCACACATCCTCAACGCAAGACACCTTTTTCGGGACGAGAAATAGAATATCTTTGCCTAGGGTGATCGTTGGGCTGTAAAAGCTCCTGATTTATGCTCGTCTCAGCCCAAGCTACGGAACTGCTATTCCAGTTCAAAACCCATGTTAAAAAGTGAACTATACTGCCTTGAACTTAACACTATATATGGCCTTGAACTTAACACACAAGATAATAACACACTATTTTTAGACACACAATAAAATCGCCAATTTTTTGCGCCAGTTTTGTATCGAACACACCACAAGTGAGACATGCGTAATCAACACATGCGCTAGCGTCATCTATAAAAAGGCCAGCAGCTTCAATGTTTTTCTTTTCTACCGCTAGATGCCAGGCTAGGACAGAAAAGGCCAAGAGAGCACCGAGAGTATGGATATGGCCTTGGATAGTACATACATTTCCACGTGCTCCCTTGGCTCCACGTGCAAACCCATCGTGCAAGGAGCACACTGCACGCGTTGACCACCTGCAAGATTCGTGCAAGCCTTGCAATGCTTTAGAGATTCACTTGCATAATTTGGCTTTGCTTACATTTAAACGTATGAATCATGAATGATTGACAATCTGGATCTGGATTAAACGGGTGAGTTGATTTGGCGCAGGCCGGCCCAGACATTGACCTTGCTGGAGAATGTCTGAGACTTGACTTTGAGGCAGAGTGCCTACTGAGTACTTACTGATAGGCACTAGGCACTTTGACCGCTAGGCAGGGACGATGTTGTTGAGACCTGAACGATGCTAATGACGTGGTTATGAGTGACCAACTACCGATGAGGATGTATGTGCATTACTGCTTAGGCTAATCGCATGATTAATGCACACATTTGAAACCGAAGTTTGGAACTTGGAAGTGTATGACTCATTTGTTTTGCAGTGTCCAATCGCGAGCGTCTGGGCCGCCCAGCCGCCGTGAACTGTGGAGGAGCCGAGGACCGACAAGAACCCTCAGTCGGTGCCCCGCTCACGTCCTGCAGTTCGACTCGGACGAGGATGATCATTTGACGGAGGGTAATCGTCAATCGACACTGAGAGATTCAGGCCATCTGCAGCGCAAGGTACGGTACGTAAGTGACGTGGGTGTAACTACCTACAACCTACGCATGTAGGCACTGTAAGCATATCTACCTAGTACCTATATAGGTACCTACCAAGTTTCAGGTACGTAACTTGGTACGCAAGGAACGCAAGGTACGTAAGTGACAAGTGGGTGTAACTACCTACAACCTACGCAAACGCATGTAGGATGCATGTAGGCACTGTAAGCATATCTACCTAGTACCTATATACCAAGTTTCAGCGCAATCGGCCCAGTAATCACCGAAATACTTGTTCCAAAACTGACACCTCTGTTTCGCACGTGGTACGTGCATAAGGGGTCACCTACATGTCAATCATAAATAGCCCATTACTTGGTAGAAGGAATGAAACTACCCTACAAAAATTACAGTGCATGTAAATCGGTCAAGTGGTTGCTGAGATATAAGCCTCGCAAAAGCGTGACCACGGCCGGCCGCTCACACTCAGAAGCAACTCAGAAGTTCCTGCTATTATACGCAAGACTTCGCTCGCTCCGTAATAACCTGTTGCTACTTGCTCGTATTTATAAAAATTCAAAAAATTAAACCAATATTTATTCGAGCGTGGAACTGGACCCTATCGAGGGCCACCTGGAGCCCTATGGCCTAGGGAAAGGTGTCTGGCTGAGCCCGAGGCACCATGAAGACGCGTTAAACCCTTCGATCATAAAAACGTCACGCTAATCACACCGGCCGTCGACGTTGAGGCGATGCACGTGTCAAAAAGCCGCATCAGATTTGTACCGCTGTTCTGTCAGATTTAATGAGCGCATGAACGTGAGCCTTTGTGCCACGCGTGTGCCTTTTATGTCCGTTTAAATGAGTTCAGGTGCCTCCAGTCGCTCTGAGCGGTTCGTTTTCGTTCGTCCGTTCTTAGTATCTGACATGGCGTGTTAGCTCTGAGCGAGTCCGGCAGCAGGGGCGCTTTTTGTACGGCTCTCATGTGCTTGTTATCGCGTCACCCGCACGTGCCGGAGAAAGACGGTGGATGGTGAGCGTGCGGAAAATGTGCGTGTGGAAGATAGGAGCGTAAGGTATAACGCGTATTTCAGTATCGGTTATCGGTGCATTTTCCCGCATTTGAACGTCCTCGGGTCTTATTGCTCATGGCAGAAATGTCCCTAAGCGTGCATATGTATTTGAGACGGGTCAATTTTTATAAAGTCCCGCACCGATCCACTCCACATTCCAGTTTACAGCCCAACGCGCCCACTGAACCGTCCCTCGGCGCACCTTCCCACGACCGAGCGGCCCCTGAGCGACACCGCTCGGCAGCGCGGCCCACTTGTGCTCGGTGACTGTTCGCCGTCGCGTCCTGTCCACCCCAGAGTCCGCTCCGGCTCCGGCAGACGGCCATTCGCCGCAGGAAGCCCGCAGCCGGCCGGAAACGGGTCCATCCGCCTCCGTCACCGCCGCTGCCGCCGTCAGCCGACCGCGCCCCGGCTGCCCCGTGCCGAGTGATGGCTGGCACACCGGAGATGGCTTGGAAATGGAGCGGACGGTGTGGCTATTGCTAATTGCACTGGTCTACTGGCGCACTGGTACGCTGTCTCAAGGCGCGGAATAAGGTCTGCAGCGTGCACTGTGCATACCGCGTGATGGCGATTCCTTTGGCTACGACTTCTGACTTTTGGGCTTTTATCGAACATTCCACATATGACCTGGTCAACAGCAAGCTCGACATACAATGCAATTTACTTCGTTCGACATAGCATCGTAACATTTTGAATAAATTGCTCCTAACGATAAACTCTTTGGAATTTCGTCGCCCCCTGCGCTGCCAGCTCCCCTGACTGACAGCACGCTCCGTCAGTAAAGTCAGCCGGCTGCTGTTTTTCCTGTCATACAGCCGCGTGTTGGTCGATGTTGCCCGTCATTGCGCGACTGAGTGATGGCAGTGCCGTATCCGTGTAGCTGCGCTAATGTGCTGAGTGCTCGGCTGACGGCACGTCACCGCTGCGGCGCTTGCCGCATCCCCGCCGCGGCCATTACGGCGCCGTAAATCGTCTCCGGTGTGCGTCCTGCCGGCTACGAGCGGTCGGCACGACAGGGCTGGGTCCGTCTAGTTGTCGGGTTGGCCGAGGTTAGGCCGCGGATGCCACGGGGAAGATTCGCATTTTGGATGATATGCCATTAGGTCACGAAGAACATGATATTGCACATGCAGGTTAATTAGGGATGGCGTGCACAGTGTCATGCTCGATACTGACACGGCGATAATATGCTATGGTAATAGCCGATTGGACTCTCACTATCGCTTCGGCAACCATCCGTGGTACTCGCAATGACCGCCCTTTTCGCAAAGTCACTGAATGGCCGCCAGCTCCGGATGGGTACGACACTTCCATGCAGGCAGTGGCCGCCCGTACCGCTGGCTATCACTCTTCACTGTAGCCATCCACACCCCATCGGAGCCTCCCAGTGACCACCGGCGTCCGACCACCACCCTCCCTGTGATGGCGACAGCGACCTCCATCGTTAGACCCCAGATGAGTCTATTACGCGGACGGATCTGATTGCGGGCCAGGTCATCAGCGGCCATGGCAAACGACCGTTCGGCGAGCCCAGTGAAAAGTCGCCTCATTTATGTTCATCAGTAGCGGCCACCGGTGTAACTGTCTCGAGAAGAGAGACGCCAACGACTGGATGATGATATCGCCAATCTTCCGCCGGGCGAGCTACGAGCTAGACTCGCGGTCCTGACTTTGACGGCATGCGATTGCTGATAGGTGCACATGGGTGCTGTGGGTATCTGGTATATGCTTGCAGCCTGCAAGCGTTTCCATTCTCTAGGTCATGACATACATAAACGAAAGGGGAATATGAAACGGCAGGTCGGTCGGGGCTTAAATGTCGGCCGCATTTCGAGGGTAATCGACACTCATTTCAATGTGTCACAGTTCGCTGCTGTACATTTCAGCTCAGTTGAGAGATCGTGTCATCGCTCACGACCAATGGCTCAGCTATGGTCCGGAAGTTTATCTGGAGATAGATCGCAGGATCACACTGCAGTTGCACACACCGCCAATGTTTGCAAGTTTCACTCCATGGTAATGTTTCATCTGTGAAATGATTACCAGGCTTGCATGTATTTCGGTTGAAATATTCCCACCGTTTCGTACCTAATCCAATTCATCGCCTTGTCATTCTGTTTACTCATGCTTCCGGGCCGTGTCTACTCGATCGTGCTCACACGCCATGTTGTGTCGTTCCCCAGTGTTACGTATAACACAGGTTGCACACTGCACAGTGTAACATACAGCCTTTGTTGGCGCCCGAGAGTGAGAGGTGTTTCGTTCGCCGGATATACGGTATACCGGCTAGACCCGTGAGAAAACACGCGTTTTACCTAACCTCCGGCCGGCCGGCGGCAGTGTGCGCCCAATTCGCCGGCGCTGCTGACAAAGTGCGGCCGCCGCCGGCGCGAAAGTGGACACCGGATGACGGCCCGTGTGGGAGCGACGGGCGGCTCATGTGCGCCGGGAGCTGCTCGTGATTGAGTCGCTCGTGAGACAGCCCCCGGGCGGCCAGCCGGTCCGCCGCCGGACCCCAGCTATATCGCGGAAAATACTCCACTTTCTAGCATGCAAACGCGTATGGGATATTCTAGAAGCGGAGTGGGAAGTTAAGAAGGTGCCTGAGTGTTATGATTTATTGCTGGATTTTCCCGGTTACCATACGCGCAGGTCTGAGAGCGTTTCGAGACTCTGCGGCTTCGGCATGCGGTTGATGTGCGCACATTCAGTGTGCTAATGACAATTAACGCCGTTCAATTTGGCCAGTAAATCGTGGAATCGGCCCCGCGCGGCGGCTGTCGAACGTTGCACCACGCACCGCGTGCGGCCTTGCCTCACCGGGAGCTCTGCGCGCGCGGGCCGTTTGGGGTCTGCTGACGACTGGACGACCCCAGTCGGCGCGGCGCCTCCCACCATTCGACCCCATCGGCAGTGGGATCCCATCACGACGGTAGATCGTGCGGTTTGGTGTAAATGCACCCCGCTAAAATGAACTACCGAAAGGTGGTGACGTTTGACTGAAGGGTGATGAGTACTGACACCTGGGTGGGACGTTACGTAATCGAGCAAGGTGCGAACAGCTAACGGCGGGAAGGCAATGGAGCGTTATGTGGTAAAGTAATTGGTGATATCTGAGTCAGGTATGCTGCTTTGCGGTGATGCTGTGCTGCGAATACGACGGATGTTGCAGATATTTTGCAGAGGAGAACGTCTTCGAATTGAGAAATCAAATTCGGTTGCAAGTTAAGGCATCATGCGGCTTCAGAATCGCAAACGTTCGGGATTATATCTGAGGACAGCTTTCACGTGCAGCGATCTCGATTCGAAATTCCTGCAATGCTAAAGAGTTGACTACATTTTGCTACGAAGCGGACACGACAAGGTCGTTGTTTAGATTGGTACATTGGTATGTCGATTATCATTTGATCACATGCCAGCACTTGATGTGGTGTTACACAGTTACGGAGTATGTGACATGCCGTTAACACTTTGTGGATAAAACATACGGCTACTTTCTGCACGTTATCTAAACTTGTCACGAAGGGCGTGAAGTTTACATAGACCAAGTGGGCACAAACGTGGGCAGTAGTGCACCAAGGCCGGCTCGCAACCTTCTGTTCCTAAACAAAAACCCGGGCGTCTCGAATGGTCATTCTCAGCCGGCCGATTTTGCGGCGAGTCGTGTCAAGGCCCGTGCCGGTCACCGGTCACACGCTGGTCACAGTCGGCCTTTGATATTGCCGCCTGTCGTCACCTCAGTCGGCCCGGGTCGTTATCATTCAGAGTGCGTCGTCGCCCGGTCTGTGCCGGGCCCGGCTCGGGGACGGAGCTGACCGGGACCCCTGCTCTGACCCCCACTGACCCTCCGCCGACCCTTCCCTAACCCCATCCGACACCTTCGTCTCGGCACTCGACACGGTCGAGCCGCAAAAAGGCCGATACCGCACCGGCACGAATTGCCAATTCTGCTCACCGCCCGGCGCGGCCCGCTCCCACCCCACCCCCAGACAGACGCCGCGGGTCTGCACATCTCTCCCCAGTGAAAACACCCCGCGTTGCGCAACATGGTCCGTGTCCGCCGCCACTCGGTCAGTGGGATTCAATATCCGTTGGACGCGCCTCCGTCTATCAGTGTGGCTAATTGCGCCCGGGGTCGGTCTCCGCCGCGCCGGCCGATCGGCGCACCGAGCTCCCCCGAGCGGCCGTGGCCGGGTCGTGACCTGCCGGTCCGGGTCAGTCTCCTTTAACCCACAAATCCCTGTCAACGTGGTTTATGCGCGATTGCCGTGCGGGCTTGTCCTCGGGCCGGGCGCACGACCCATATTCGCTAATAGGCCGGTAGTGGGGACATGTGTACGCCAGGCTGTAATGAGATGTCGACGTAGGGAATGCGAGTTATGATGCTGTAATGAGCAGAGCGCTAGGTGACGTGTGTGTCGTGCTGATCACCTGGGATTCGGCGGGCGCTGCTGGGAAGTCGCGCCATGCTATCAACAGGTTTTTGGGCTTGAGACTCGACCCTGTCAACGTTCTCGCTCGCACTTGAGCTAGTCTATTAAAATTGATGCATGGGGTCATTAAATTCAGACGGTGAAGTCATCAAAACGTTAACCAGCGACATTACACGGGGTCTGCAGCACGGTCGTATATTTCTCACTGATGGGGTGAATATCGGGGTAAAAAGCACGGTTTTCGTTCCAGCAATTGATGGCGGTTGTATCACAATCACACATCCCACGAACAGAGCATGTAAGCAGTTAAGAGCCTTGTGTGCGGCGCTCGATGACCGGCGAGAAACTCTTCAACTGAGAACCCCCGCGACGTTACACCGAGGTGCACTCGACAGGCGCCGAGCTGCAGTAAGAATTACAGCCACCCACGAGCAATCAACCAAATTGGGTAATTGACGCTCATGGGGACTTTCGTTTAAAGCACCCATGTCTGTGTGAGCTATTGCTCATGGCCAAATTGCGCGTCCAGTGAAAGCGAACGCTGGCCACTCGCGGAGCGGCTCACGTCTGTGATTGCGCTGGGCTAACGTGCGCAATGGGCTGATTGTCACTGTCGGTGGCACTTGTTGGCCCCACGGCTGTCCACCGGGCGCTAACGAATGGCCGCGGCGCGACGGGAGGGTGGCGCTGGTCACTTCACACCCGCGCCGGACGGGGTGGCCGCCTGCCGGCCTGGGAGCGCGCAGACGGGGTAATTGGGGTAATGGTGGGAACCAGCCGCTTCCCGGAGCGCCAGATTCGGATCGCAATTACTTTCGAACAGAATGGGCGTGCGTCCGGTGGCTGGACATTTGGAGGGGGCGGGGTCGAGCCTTGGCGCCCGAGCACTTCGCTATTTGTTTACGACCTGAGACTGCAGCTACATAGATCAGGGCTGCGTCCACAGGTGTAATGCGTTAGCCCCGTGAGCTTTTTGATGCACGCAATACGCATGTCATGCCAAAATAATGAAAGTTTTCTTTCGCTAGGGCTTACGTGGGCAGTGCGTTTTGGCTTAGGTAGGTAATTATTAATTTTCCAGTCGCTGTAGACGTTTCCAGTGAAACGTCTATCACTTTGATTTATTCTGTCTGCAGGATGAATCTCTACCATGTCCATATACTTGCTTGCATAACGTCTCGCTTATTATCGTTATTGTAAAGTGAGATTCAATTTGCCTCTTCGTTGAAATGCTTTAGCTCATTTCACCGTCTCGTTAGTGATTTGTCTCATTTTCCGCATCAGCTTCTTCCGCCTCCAGGCTTATGTAATATGTAGGTACTTAGAATTCAGGCATATTTTTTGCTGGGATATCTATGTATGTATGTATGTATTGACGATCAAGAGCAATCCACAATCGGCGTGGCGATTACACTCCGAGTCCGAGGCTTATAGCTATAGGTATTTTGGCTATTTTTGCAGCTCGGTGGATCATTTTACTTTTTTTGTAACAGGCTGCTTCAGGCATCCTGTTGTTTCAACCAAATCAGCACATAGTATTTTCACTATCCTATTTCCTTATGTGTATCCGAGCTTTCTTTTTACTCGCTCATTTTGAAGAAACACGGGTAGACCGTAGACCCTTTCACAGTGTGATAGTGCGCTGGTTTGTGTTTACGACCGTATCAGCACGCCGCCGTGTTGTCCGCGTGCGCTAATGACCCGTAATCTTCCATTCCAGGCCGGTCCCGCTCGCTTTGAGCGACCACGTGACGCGATCATTAATCATGGCGTCTTGTCACATGACATGTCACCGGGCGCTTCGTTCGCAAGTCCCCTGTATACCGTCGGATTTCGGCGTTTGTTTGCAGGTAAGCATTAGCAAGGCTGCAGTTGCAGCAGTGTGCATGGCTGCTAAGCTAACGTTTTTCAGTGGTCTGAGAATTCTCCAACCCTCGCAGGCGAAGCGTTTCGTCTCATGTCGGTGGTTTCCCTGTTTTGCCGTTCATATGCCGCTAATAGCGCAGTGTCCCAAAATTTGTAGATGTGGGTGGGAAACGACATCCAAATGAAAATCATTTTCCACTCTCCAAGCCCAATTTTCCACTCCCAATTGCACCGAGAAGGAGCAATTGCGTGAATGGTTGTTTTGCATCTGTCACAATTGTAGATAAATTGATGTTTTTGATCATTTTCCCACTCTTTTTGGGCCTTACCTGACCAACAATTTTTCACTCTCATCCTTTTTTTGGTCAGCAATTTTCCCCTCTGACACCCAAGCAAAAATATGATTTTGGGACACTGTAATAGCGTCCACACTATCTGCTGACTGCTCGCAAACACCACGATGTGGCATTATCTACGAGGGAAGAAGCCCGTTTATCTGACCGTCGAACAAACATCATTAAGCGCAGCTTTCTTCGTTTGGTCTTCAATATATTGTTTATGGAGCCTCCCGCCGGGCTAATGCATTATGGTGTCATTTCATCCTTTGCCTTTGTGTCTTCTCTGTGTTTTTTGCCTGTCGGCGCCGGCATCTCACAGTGCCGTGAGATTTACCGGTGTGTCTGATAATAACTTCAGCTGCGGCACACTCAGCTTTCTCGTAGGTCAAATCGATCAATCTCCCATTGCATTCACGGCGAGCGTAAAAAACGCCGGCCAAAATAACCCGCCGTGCCTCATCTTGTGCCCAGTTTTATCGCCGTGTTCAGAGAACAAGTATGCTTCGTTATTGACACGCGTCTGTTTTCCTGGCCGCTTACAAGCGTGTTCACTTCTGCTTTCGCCAGCTGACTGCGCCACAAACGCCGCGTCGTCGGCAGTGCGCCGTAAATCGCTCAGCTCATCAGGGCAGCTTGTTTCCGATCAGGAGAAATTAGACTTTGTTTACGGAAGCTGTGGACGTGTTTCGTCACATCTCGCTCTCCGTTAGAGGTATCTGTGGGGATTTCGTGTGAATTTTCATGTTCTATGCTGACGTCATCAGTGAAAGTAGCATTATCACGCTGCTCCCAAAATTATCGGCAAACAACGAAAAGAAGAAAAGATCTCCTGCCGAATGTGCCGATTGGCTGAGGTGGGCCGCGGCGAATAATGTCAAACGGTTGCATCACGTCATCATTCGGCTGTTTCCCCACTCCTGAAGACGTGAGCGCCAGTCCCATCATGAGCTGAAACTGGGCCTTTCATTCAGCGGTCGTGCAGTTAGCTCGGTGATCTATTATGGTCACTGGTGCCACGCCCTCTCTAATTGGCCGCCGAACTCCCGAAATTACCACGGAGACCGAATACATCAGAGCTTGTTGAGAATAAGGTGATTGACGTATATGCGCTGGGACGGAGGAATGAATGCGGCTATATATCACAATAGAAAAGCTAAACTGCATGTTGAAAACTTAGCTGTGGGTTATAGAGGTCAGGAGATAACAGGTAACCTTGACATACCTTTGTAGACGGTTTAACCTCTCTGAAACGTCAACTCTCCGACAGTTTTATAGGAAGGGGCCTAAAATTCAGACAAGATGACCACAAGTGTGAATGAATCATCTGGCCTCTCTTAGATCCCATCCTACACTTCTATCCTACCGGAACCAGCCTGACCTGACTTGACAGGTCCGCGAAGGTCTGCGTTTCTCCTCCCGCCCGTATTCCTACGTCGCTCATCATGGGCGGGCGCGGAGGCGAAATTAATCGCTGAGCTGAGCGACCACATTTGTTCTGGCCTAGCGCGTCGGACGACGCACCGTCAGGCCGACCGACGACCGGTCAACAACACTGCACCATGGCCGCAAGCGCGATCGTAATAGCCGATCTCTCAGGAAACATGCACTTAGCTTCTCGAGCTGCCATAGAGCTCCGGCCAGGGTGTCGCAGTGGCGGCGGCCGGGCCGCTGCGGGCTTCCTTTCCCTTTTACGAATAGTATGCAAATGTGTGAGCTGGTAGCGTTCGTCCGACGCCCGCTGGGCGGGTTAACTCAGTGACGGTCAGATAACAGCTGGACCGCGCCGCGCTGCGACGCTGCTCTCCACGAGCGGCCTTGGCCCGTATTACCTGACACCAGCGCACGGCGGCCTGGAGAGCTACTCTTCATACATAAACAGGACCTCATCCACACTCTCAACAGCTGGCCAGCCTAGTTATGGCTATCATCGGTCTCATAAAACGCGGATAAAGCCTAACGAATAGCCTGTAAAGAGGCTCTCGCAATTTGTTTCTGAATGCGTTCCGGGCGGTTTGACGGTGCCGCTTGGTGTTGTTCGGGTGTTATGATGCATTCTTCTTCCGCCATTCAGTCGCAAGGCTACTCGTAGGACGGGACCGCATATGGGGTTTATGCTGTACTTACCTGGTGACCCAGGGCCAGAAAATGGTGCGTCAGTTCCATGAGATCTGACCAACCACGAGTGTCATGGCCGGGAAAAGGGTAGTGGCACGCTATCAGTCATTACGGCTCGTCGGCTGCGACAGATTCTTTCGCGCTGAACAATGGATATTTTTGTACACAACGATGTAAGAGAGGAAAATAAAGCTGAACGTTGACCGGCAAACGACGCGTGTCAGAAGGGCACCACTTATCCTCCGGAAAGGTAAAATCTCTTCATCTGACATTCGACATTGGGGAAAGATACTAGCGAGCTCGGCCCGGGAGCTGAATTCTCGAATGCGTGGCTGGTTTCAGTTCAGCTTAGGCAAAAACTAGTGTAGGAAATATTGTCGTGCGCTGACGAATGCTAACATACGACAGTCAGCTTCAGCACGTGATGAGTGATGTTCAATACACCAAGTGAATCACTGGTGAAGATAGCGATACCTAGGCATCAAAAGCTAGCCTAGTGAATATTCAGGAAGAGCCAAGTGCCGATTGGGGTGACTCCGTTCTTCTAGCAATATCTCACACTATATTGCAGAGCCCACAGAGGAACCATATGGACTGCAAAACCCTGAGCATACTACTGAGTTCTAATCTAGCTCATGGCCTCCTGCGGCTCCGAATGGTTCATGGCCCTGCCGCGGTGTTCTCACGGCCCGGCCGGGGGCGCAGAGGTCTCCAGACAGGGTCTGTACCGTCGGCACTCCCCTCCGTCTGTCGGCAAAGCAATAACTCCTAGCTTTCCAGACTGAAAACGTAGAGCCTGATGTCTCGAGCCGGATGTCCGGCGAAGCCCGGACGATTGGAAACATCGCTATTTAGTTTGTGGAGCGATCAAGTCCGCCTGGCGCGATGCGGTTTTATTGGTCTACTTTTGGTGGTTTTAGAAGAGACCGCGGCAAGCTCGATTTCACGTAATCAAACGAAAGTTATGATTAGACTGGACTAACCGCCCTGACTTTCTGCGTGCGGCGGCTGGTCGAGTCCCGGTCGGTTTTCGGCCGGTTTTCTCCATCGTCCAGTGATGACCACCAATCAGCTCATTCACAAATACGCCGCTCTGGAGCCCGTCTCGGTAAAAAGTGCCGCCTGACCGGCCATTACCGCGGCTCGGGGGCGTCCGGACTCGCCGGGCTGACCGCCGAGACGGCGCGTCGGCGCCGATCCGACCACGAAACCGGCGCGCCGCAATTGACCCCGCCGCAGAGACGGTGATGGCGCGACGCACGTGAGCGCGCCGCGCCACAAATGTGCCGATTGTGTCGGCGCGTTGCACAAGGCTTATCACATGCAATTTGTTCATCATGGTTTGTCTAACGGTGGGATTGACCGCAGTCTGGAGCGCATCCCCAGCACTCAGACGGTGTATGATATTGTGTTATTTCGGCAGCCCAACAACAGAGGCTGCTCGCTGTCCTCTGGTCGGAGAGCCTTTGATCATCCCGTGGAGGACATGACAAATCGCGTGCGGTATATCTCGCTCCAGGACACCGCGGGTGGGTTTTCACAGACACTAGATCACACGGCCACGCAGCCGATTGTATCGCATACGGACAGAATCTCAATGGAAACCCTGGCCGGCATGCATTACACAGACCCGCGCGTCTGATAAAGGGTGAATTTATTGGTATCGTGGCGATGCGGGCCGGGCTGTCCCGCCTCTAAATTCCAAACTGGAACCACCTGGGCCTGAACTGGAGAGGTCAACCTCCGACACTGATTAAATATGTCACCTGCCTTCGAACATAGTTTGCATTTATTTTCAAAATAGACTGTTACGCTGTCTTGATCTGGATTTCAAAAGTGCTGTTTCGCCCTTTGTCCTTGTTTGATACGGTCTGGCCTCGAATTGAACGGTCTGTCAATGGTATCCTCAGGCTCTGCGGACTGCAAATGTAAGAGATACCGCAACTACCTACCGAAGTGGCATAAGCCATTGTATCTGTACATATAACGCACCTGCTCTGCATGCCCCATTTTTTTAATCTCTCTCTCTCTCTCTCTCTCTCTCTCTCTCTCTCTCTCTCTCTCTCTCTCTCTCTCTCTCTCTCTCTCTCTCTCTCTCTCTCTCTCTCTCTCTCTCTCTCTCTCTCTCTCTCTCTATCTCTCTCTCTCTCTCTCCCTCCCTCCCTCCCTCCCTCCCTCCCTCCCTCTCTCTCTCTCACTCTCTCACTCTCTCACTCTCTCCCTCACTCCCTCCCTCTCTCTCTCTCTCTCTCTCTCTTTCTCTCTCTCTCTCTCTCTCTCTCTCTCTCTCTCTCTCTCTCTCTCTCTCTCTCTCTCTCTCTCTCTCTCTCTCTCTCATTCATCTCTTCTCTCTCTCGATCATGGCCTTAGTGGTTCCCCTCTGGCCCAAACGCATGTGATACAGCCAGTTGCGGTGAGCGCTCAGGCGCGGGGCGCCGCCCCTGATCTGTTCATAGTGAGAGTGGTGGCGGGCCGCACCTTGACAGGTACTGAGTGATATGGGACTCGGAATGCGCTGTGGTGGCAGGAGCACCGCGGCCGCGAAAACGAAGCCAACCGCAACGAGAAAATTGGTGGAAGATGAGCATAAAAATAGTCACAGTCGTGGGAATTTTTTAGATTTATGATAATATGAGCCAGCAGCTGGTGAAGTTAAAAGTGCGCCCCATTTCCAATTGGATCAGGACGAATGGGTCGGATAATGCTGCGCTATTCAGAGCTCTTCTCACCGTTTATGGATTTGATCCCTCCGCAGGCGTGTGGTTATGCGGCTATGTCTGAGATAAACATGTGGTATGAATTTCTTTATGACCACTCATTGCCGAACTATTTTGGTTTATTTTCACCAAGTCACTTGATGGTAATGCTGGGAATGTCGTTTGAGCAATTTGTTTTGGCCCCATAAAGGGTACTATTTGCCATTATTACCCATTATTTACGTACCTTTATAGGATAAGCGTGTTCTACCATTTTGCTTTTGGCGTTAATTTCTTATTAGAAGCTGACGCTTTCGATTCGTAGTTCAAAAACCATGCAAAGGCCTCAATGAATTAGCACTGAATTGGATTACATAAAGGCTACCACTCTTCTCCATTTTATTGGCGTGGAGTAGACTGCGATTGTGATGCAATCAAGCTTTCACAATCTATATCGGTATAACGACCGTTCAACGCCACATCCGTCTGTCCAGGATTTTTTTTTTATTTATATCAGGCTCAGGCACATGGTTAGTTATATCGGCACAATCTGCGCACCTATAGCTTCGAATCGATACAAAGTCGTCAACTTCTTATGTTATAATCGTTGGGAGTGGGACCATGTGACAAAATATCGGGGTGATAAATCGCTCCGATTTGAATTCGAACTCCACCTCTGGTTTCGAGAGCGACTGTCACCGCTTCAGTTTGGCCGTGTCAGGGCCGTCTGAAGTCAGTTCCTTCCTATGGTCCCCAGCCCATTGTCCGCCCCATACAGCCCACAGTCTCGAAAGATATATGAACTACGACCGTCTGTGTTTGCTGGACCAAGTCGGCTGATATTTCATTCATCGGTGTAATCTGATGCCCTTCCCAGACCAATGCCATTGAAGTTAACCCAGGGGGAGGCACTCGCCTTGGCCGTATATGGGCCAGAATGTCTAACGATTTCCGCCATGTTGTGTATACCAAAGTCTTGAAAAGTTTATCACTGCAATCAAACTGCAAGCATGAAGCAGCAGCACTTTTGAGTAGTGTACCTCTCACTTAACTGCACCTCTGCTACCATACATGCAATTTATATTTCTGGTATACACAACATGGCGGAAATCGATAGACAAAAACAAGTCACCAATGCTCCTTCCAGTATATATTAGAGTTCAGTGAGTTAACCCCATGATTGACCAATATGCCGACAGCTTTCTGGCCTTTGTTTGGCCAACATTTGCCAGATATCAGATGGATTCGGTGCCTATGTGGGGCAATATTTGGGCTG